CTGGTTGGGTCTGACTAAACCTGGTGAGATCTGATGCGTATCTCAGGAGATCGGAAGAGATCCGACTGGACTTGCGATTCAATATCGAACAGCAGTAATGGTCAGATCTTGTGAAATCGGATTAAAGTTTAACATGTCTGGCTGGATCTGATCAGATCTGGTCATGCAGATCTGACGAGATAAAATTTTGTCCAATCAGATCTGACTCTACTATAATTTCAGATCTCGTTGTATCTCATTTTATCAAATCAAACATGGTCAGATCTCCTCCATTTTTTCCCGGGTGGATAGGAAAAAACTGGAACTAAACGTGGATAAAACGAAAATAATGAGATTTAGGAAAGGAGGAGGAAGATGGAAAAGAAGGGATTGGAGGTGGAAAGGGAACAAAATGGAAGAGATAAAAGAGTTCAGATATTTGGGATACATACTGCAAGCAAATGGAAAACAAGAGGCACAAGTGAAGGAAAGGGTGAAGAGAGTAGCTAGAATATTGAGAGGGGTATGGGGAATAGGGAAAAGGAGGTTCGGAAAGGACTGGAGCAGAAGAGTATGGTTGTTCGATAGACTGGTCTGGACAGTAATGAATTACAGAGTAGAGATCTGGGGCTGGAGGGAAAGGGAAGGGATGAAGAGACTAGAAGAGAGATACCTAAGATGGGTGTTTGGTTTAAATAGTAGAACGCCGAGATATCTGGTAAGACAAGAAACTAAAAGAGGGAAGCTAAGAGAAAGAGCGGGAGGAAGGGCTTGAAACTTCGAAAAGAGACTAGAAAAGGGGAGGGAAAGCAAGACTATGCTGGAAAGAAATGAGAGAAAGTGCAAGAAAAGGGGAAACGGCGTCGGAGTGGGAGGAGGAAAGAAGGAAGTTTTTCAAGGAAAGAGGTGAGGGAATTAAAGAGGTTGGGAGGAAGAGAGAGAAGGGAGAAGATATAGAGTCTGGAGAGTTGATAAAGAGAGACAGGGAAGAACAAAAAAGAGAAAGAGAGAGAGAGAACTAAGAGAATCAAAATATAATAGATGGTATGATTGGATAAGAGTAGAAGGGGTGCCAAAGTACCTGAAAAAAGGATGGGGAGAGAGTAGATGGAAGAGGATAATGCGTTTTAGGATGGGGAATGAAATGAAAGGGAATAATTACTGGGAAAAAGAGGAAAAGAGGTTGTGCAGATTGTGTGAAGGAGCGAGGGAAACATGCTTGGGAGGAATGTAGAGAGTGGAAGGGGGAGCGGGAAAGTTAGCAAAGCATGGTAAGCAAAATATTAGGGGAAGAGGGAGAGGGAGAATGGTGGATGAAAGAGCTGGAAAGGGAAAGAGAGAGGAGGAGGGAAGATGAGAGAAGTGGATGGGAGGGATGGGAGAGTGAGAGAGAGGGGGAAGTCGCGGTAATTAATCAGTAAAAAAGCGGTGAACTAAATTGATGAAGAAAGCAATAGGAAGCGGAAGTCCGAGGGAGAGAGGAGACGTGTGTGGGCGTGTGTGGTCGATAGGGGGGAGAGTGAGAAGGCTCACGAACCCCCCGAAATATAGGTTCAGTCGTATTTGTAAGCGTTATTATAGATATAAGTATAGAACATGGACGTAAGAATATATGGATGGAGCGTAATGTAGGATTTAGGACGAGGGGACCCAAGCGAGCGCGGTGAGGGAAAATTGCTTGGGAAATTGGGTGGCGGCCATATGTGATGACTAGGTGATTGTAAGGACGCCTCGTGGTCAATGTTGAAAGTTCTTCCTAACCATGGAGAATGTATAATGCGCTGTTTACACAAGCGTCGCCGCCATATGTGATGACTACTTTTCCCCTCACTGCTCTGGCTTCACCCCCGCTAACTTACACTCCGTCCATATATTCTTACGTCCATGGTATAGAATAAGTTGGGAAATTGTAAAAAATTATAACCCTCAGGGAAGAGCAATAAGGTTTTTATTATTATTTAATAATCAATATTAAAAGTTAAAACTTTAAACTAGTTTCTATATTAGTTTCTATATAGCAAGTCATCGAGCATACAGATTCGCGACATCGATCAATGCTTATGGCTCCTGCCCACTGGACGCGGCAACGCGTACCGCGCGGCGGAAATTGCCGCGGCAAAAAGAATTAATTTTTCATGGGTTCACACTGCACGCGGTATTGCGTTGTATGTGCGCTTGCGCTTCAGAATAGATGTGTTTTGCATCGTGATCTAACCTAAAAGATTCTATCTAAAAACATTATCGAGTGTCACAAGTTGTACATTTGTATATAGAAGATGGATACAAATATGCGTAGAAGACGTCTGTTGTTGCTGAGCTTGTCATACATAAGAAGAAAGAAAAATAAAAGAAATACATCAAAACGAAGATTTTGGGTACACCCAATATTGCAATTGAAACAACAACAAGGAGATTGGCACAATTTGGTTCGTGAAATGCAATTGCAAAACGACGAAACCTATTTCAATTACATGAGGATACCACCGACAATGTTCAATTACATTTTATCAAGAATAGAGCCTTTAATAACGAAACAGGAAACAAATTTTAGAGTTCCTATTCTAGCAGCTGCAAGATTGTCAATGACTTTACGGTAAATAAAAATACCTGTATATAAAAATTTGCACAATTTTGTTTAGATTAAAACTTTTATGAAAATATAACTGTTAATAAATATTTACGAAACAAGTAACATAAAAATATAATTGTCAGTTATTTGGCAAGTGGAGATGGACTTCAATCCATCGCATTAAATTATCGCACCGGAAGAAGTACAACGTCACGAATAGTAAAGGAAACGTGTGAAGCAATATGGGAAATGTTTCACAAAGAGGTATTATTTACTGTGTCAGAAAATGGATGGCGTGAAGTAGCTCATGAATTTCAAGAGAGATGGAATTTTCCCAATTGTATTGGTGCTTTAGATGGAAAGCATGTTGCTGTTATTGTAAGAGAATTTTTATTTATAATTATGCTATTAATTTGAAATATATCCATAAGTCACTAACAAATAAAAATTGTTATTTTTATAGTGTCCTGCAAAAAGTGGAAGCACGTATTTTAATTACAAAGGATTTCACAGTATAGTTTTATTAGCACTTGTATCTGCTACATATAAATTTTTAATCGTTGATATTGATGCACAGGGTAGACACAGTGACGGAGGAATTTTTAAAAACTCAATTATGGGTCAAAGATTTTATAATAACACTATGAATTTGCCTCATCCGTCTGCTATTAGCACAAGACACACCGTGCCATACGTTATAACAGCAGATGAAGCATTTCAATTAAACACATTTACCATGCGACCATATCCGTCCAAAAATTTAACTAAAAATCAACGAACATTTAATTATAGATTAAGCAGGTCGCGAAATGTCGTGGAAAATGCTTTTGGAATATTGGCAAGTCGATGGCGTATTTATCAAAAACCTATCAATACTAGCCTCGAAACAGCTGATTCGATAATCAAAGCGACGGTTTGTTTGCATAACCTTCTGATGGATAACTCATTTTACTGTGGACAACAATATGGCGATAGAGTATGTATTAATGGAGAAATAATCAGAGGAGAGTGGAGAAATATGAATTGTAATTTTCATGTTAACACAAGTAATAAGTTTAATAATGGTGCAAGTAACAACTATACACAACTTGCAAATGAAATTAGACATACATTTACTGATTATTTTATTAATGAAGGTCAAGTTCCTTGGCAAGATAAAATGATTTAAAAAAATAAAATCTCTAACAGCATATTATCCGGGGACCTCCAAGGGATATCCGGACAACCTCTGCACGTACGGGGGACGTCTATAGGTCGCCTGAATATCCCTTGGAGGTACCTCGGACATTTGTACTGTTACAGATAAAAATGTACACACAAAGTAATCATATAAAACTTATAAAGTATATATTATATTAAATCATTATTTATATAAAATAATTATATATGAATATATATATTTCTTTTAATGTAATAAAATTTTTATGCAAAACATTTATGCGAAATTAATTATTTATTTATTCCTTTACAACAGACTTGTCTAAGTTGAGCTTGGACAATAGACACTAAAACACCATTTATTGCAGCACATACATCCGAGCCCAACGAATCGAATCGGTCCTTTTTAATCTTAATCGGTTTATTTCATTCCACTTCTTTATTTCATTCCGTGAGAAGATGGAGGAAAAGTCAAGAGCTTAACTTAGACAAGCCTTACAAACTCAAAATTGCATTATACAATTAAACAATATTTTAAATCTTTGGTACATTAGACACTCATGAAAAGAACTATCTTCTATTTTGCTAACGTGTTTACGCATAAATATATAAGACTACAGTAAATACTAATACTATATTCAGGTAAGTAAGAAAAACAGCTTAAAAATACTAAACTTTAAAGTACAATTATCTTTGAACAACAAAATAACACAAAACATTCGAAACAATTACAACTGTAACAACTGTTAAATAACTGTAAGTAATATATCCTACAGAGTCATAAGATTAGGATAAATATATATACTACTCCCCAATAGACATGTGTATCTAAAAGACATCTTTAAAAAGTCTTTAAGACTTCTTTTAGACACACATGTTTACTGGGTCATTATATATTATTTGTAGTCACAGTCTTTACACGCAAATGTGGTTATGATAAATTAGCCAGTGAAAAATTATTGTCAATCAATAACGTTATTACTTATGCACAAAAAGAATAATTTGTTGAAATAATCGTTTGTTTGGATATAATGAAAGAAATTTTTTGACCGAGGAAAATTTGATTAACGTAACAAAAACACACATTTAGATCCAATTCGATTCCCATAAAGTATTTTTATTGCGTTAACCAAAGTTTTTTCGGTTAATCAATAAAATTTGATTATATCCAAACATTTTATGAGTAGTACATGTTACTATGGAAAATATTATGCCGTTGGAATATCTATAAATACAGAAATAAACATTGATAGACAATAATTTATCACTATATATATAGCTAATTAATCGATGTAGTAATATTAAAATAATAAATATATATTTGTTGTAGAGATATATGTCATCATCACAGTATCACAGAGATATATGTATATCACAGTATATACCTTGTAGGCAAAAAAATGACGAAAGGACCTTTCTGTGTTTATACTACGCATTCAGTCACGTATAATATTACATTGCTGCGTTTTAAATTTGGAAAAATATTATTGCCATAAAGTTCTGTAGAGAAGTCCATTTGAAAACCAAATAGTATATTGCAAATACTTGTAATTTAACAAAAATATAGCAATGTAATATTATTCTGCGTTTCCCTGCTCGATAATTTCTTCGGTAAAGTAAATTGTATATCGCATGAGCACGTGAGAAATAAAAAAATTTTAATTTCCACCATAACAGATCGATATCTGATACTTAAAATAATTTCAAACTTGAAAGATTAAAACATTAAAAAAGAAATAAAGAAAACAGAAATGATAAGAAGCATTTTATGTCTCTGTCTCCAGAAGTAATATCTTATTAATTATACCTCTGGAAACATCTGAATTCATTCCTCGAAGACATGCTTCTAAATATTTTGTAAAAGTTTCGATTTTATCCGGTTTGGTGTGAGCAGGTTCATTTTTCGGTTTTGTTTCTTGCAGTTCTCTCAAAATGGCTTCTTCTATAGAGTCAACATTTTCTGATTTTTCTGTAAATTTAATAAAATGTTATTTTTTCTTTTGCATATTTTTTTGTATAATCATAAATGTAAAAATAAAGAAGTGGAATATTTGTATCAGTACGTGAAATAGACAAATTAAAATTAAATATTCTTTGATCCTAATATACAGGG